CCCCTAGTAGCGTCCTTGCTCCTAGTAGCGATGCCAGGAGCCCCTAGCAGCGTCCTTGCTCCTAGTAGTAAGGCCAGGAGCCCCTAGTAGCGTCCTTGCTCCTAGTAGTATGGTCAGGAGCCCCTAGTAGCGTCCTTGCTCCTAGTAGTATGATCAGGAGCCCCTTAGTAGCGTCCTTGCTCCTAGTAGTATGGCCAGGAGCCCCTAGTAGCGTCCTTGCTCCTAGTAGTAAGGCCAGGAGCCCCTAGTAGCGTCCTTCCTCCTAGTAGTGATGCCAGGAGCCCCTAGCAGCGTCCTTGCTCCTAGTAGCGATGCCAGGAGCCCCTAGTAGCGTCCTTGCTTCTAGGAGCGATGCCAGGAGCCCCTAGTAGCGTCAGGAGCCCCTAGTATAGTGTCCTTGCTCCTAGCAGCGATGCCCTTTGTTGCTAGTAGCGTCCTCTCAATGTGGCCTTTGCATCACCTCCTGGGACGTTTTGCAGGAGGGGCATTGCACAAAGCGTGCCTGTCGCTGCTGACGCTTGGATAGGGCAAGCGCGGGTTCACGCGTTGCCAAGAACCATTCCAAGATATTCCAAGTGTAGAGATTTGAATCGACTGATTTCGGGATATTGCGGGAAATGCACCAGTTGGGGATTGCTACGTTCATCCACTCTTCACTTCTTCATGGGCAAGCAAGCCAACACTATGTTTTTTCAGCGCTCAGCATGGACACTTATGCAGAGGCAACGTCGCCAGGAAGATTAAGTTCGTTTGACCAGTAGGATGTTGAGTTCATTTGTGTTTTGATTTGTAGGGGTGACTCACTTGGTTTCCTACCTGTTGTCGTCGTGTAGTTGCTGCGAAAGCTAAGTAGCAATCTCTTTTTGCGGAACATCTGGGGATCTCGATCTGCAGGTCAGAAGGATTCAATTCATTTAGTTGTTTTGACACCTGCATGTCGATCAAGACTGCCAGGTCTAGCAGTTTTGATTGCTTCGTCTTGGATTGTAGCGACATCAGTGGTAGACCAGTGGATTCCGTGCAGAAGGAGAAGGAATGAACCTAGAAAACTCATTGAATCAGTGGACTCCCAACCAATCCGGCTCGTTCTTAGAAGTCGCAATATGAATTCGCATCAGGGAACAGGGACGTGAAACACTCGGGGTGATTGTACAATGTAGACTCTTGATGAATAGACCAAGCCCATGTGAATTGGACATCCTCTTCAAACATATGGGGGGTTGAAATATCCTCAAAAGTCCTAAGGATTGGAGGCGTGGAGGGAGCGGTCCGACCCGATGGGCGACCGATGGGTTACTTCGGGAGGGAAGAGGACGGAGTTTCACCTGTTTTGCAGCGGAAACAAGACCTCTATGAACCACCATGATCCGATGAAAGCTGCTCCCGGACCCGGGAGAACGCGGTACCTCTTCAGAGCGAAACGGCGGACGGGTCGACACATATCACGTCCGGCAGCGAGGTGATTGGGGACGGGTCGTTGGGGGCACCATGGGCTACTCGACGACCGGCAGGATCACGAGGTTTCTGCGGCTGTGTCTAAGTGAAAGAGAAAGTTTGAGCATGCCGATCAGATCTAAGGCTTTCAATCTGTTGCAAAGTATCTGATAAGAATCGCTTCAAGTCAGTCCGGGAAAAAAAAGCGCCCTCCTGAGAGAAAGAAGGAAACGTTCAGGTTGGGTTCCAACTGGTTCCCAAAACTCCAAACCCTGTGGTTTGACGCTCAGACCCCTGCACACCACTGCCTCAAGCTGATAGGATCACATTCCCAGCTGCACGGTTTCCAGGATTTGCGGCCCTCTTCAGAGCTCGAGCCGTTGGAGCAAATCACGGTCTACACTTCGTTGGAGCCGTTGGAGCGGTCCGTACACGTTAATTGACTGGATCGGGTGATGTCTATTGAAGTCTATTGATAATAGGTCGATTTGCCCGAACTGGGTGAATCCCAAACCTGGGGAGTCACTTTAGCCTTCAGCCAAGAAGATCATGGCATCCATAGCAAATCCATGCAGGTTCAGTTCTGAACAGCCACAGCAAGTCCACAATCTGGAGAATCGGTGGAAAACATGCTCCAAGCCAGTGGAATCGATTGACGTTCTTGATTGTTCTTGATTTGGGGGCTCCTGTTCATTGACGGTTTGACATTGCCCTATATATAGAGGTTGTTTGAAGCCGCAACTGGTTGCGCAATCATGGGCATGGTTTTGAGATGTTTTTAGATGTGTTCTCTTTTATATAAGTCTTTTTAGCTATTCTGACTGGTGCTTAGTAAGGAACGAGAGAAACTGATCCTGAGGCATCAAAAGGTGAGGGGTCATTCCCTAGTCATCCCATTCGTCCCTCCTTTCGCTTCGTCGCACCAGCCAGTACGGTAGGGACGTGCCGACCAGACCGTTGGAGTCGTCAGACCGGACCGCTCTCGGCGCATTCCACCTTGTTCATAGAACGAGCGATCACGAGAGCCGTCCGCCCGCGCCGGGTCCCCGAGACGGGTTCTGAACATACGTGTCCGACTGGGGTGAAGGAATGAGTTGGTAACGAAAAAAGCGTTACCTAAGCATCATTGTAAGTATACAGTAAGTATATACTGCATATACCTGGTTCTTCAAAGTGATAATCATCATTGTAAGATTTTGTAAGGGTAACTGTCATAATATTTGCATAGACAATGTCATAGAATGTCATTTGTCCTCTCTGCATGCCTCATGGATGCAAATTGCCAATCAGTCAATATATACCATAAACTTTTGGACCTGACATCTCGTCAGGTCCTTACGAATCTCGTCAGTTTTCCCGGCTTGGGGATGGTGCTGGCGAACGCCAGATCTTGGATGGAATCCCAAATGGGGATGGGCGAATCCTCCGAGAAGTCGAAGTGGCCCGCGTCCGGGCGGCCGTTGAAGTGGCCCGGACGGGCGTCTCACTCTTCTGATGGGGTCGTTGGGGTCGACGTCATCGGGTTCGTGAGGAATTCCACACTGACTCCATCTATGGGATTGAGAGTACATGGCGCAATACCCCAAGGGGGGTTTAATGTGGTTTATTATACTGAACCCCATCTAAAAGTCATCTAGGGAGTTGTGCCATCTACTCTGCAACAAAAGTGGATAACATAGACCCAGTCACACCTGTTCAACAGCCACCAAGGGTTGACTATACTGACAGATGATACGTAAACTTCGACATTGACCAATAGGATTCCCTTTGAACCAGAACAGTGGAACGAATTGGACCACCAAGTTGAGTTCTCCAATACTGGCTACTTCTACTTCACCGAAAACCTGGTCAGACCTGAAAACCTGGGCTCGCCACCCAGGGGTTCAGCGTCGGGCCGAAGGGAGAGCTTGGAGCCATATCCGGAGAATCTGGACTTCACGGTTCTCTCCCAAAACCCGGAACAAATGAGACCCCAGGGCACCAGATCCCTTCATCTGAGGGTCCGGGTTCTATGAGGGTTCTGTCAGGGTTCTGGATATATATATATATATATGTTCTTTTCATTGTAGAAGCCCCCAATCAGAGGAGTGACCCAATACCGTTGACCCGCACTCTTGACGAGTGCGGGTTTTGGAGTACATGGTTTTCTGCTGTTGGCTGCACATGTACCGACCCTTGTGCTGTCGCGCTTGGCACCCCCGTCTTATAACTTATAACCTGTGACAACTCCTTGTTAAGCACACTGGTGTGCCTCCAGGAGACTCCGACACCTCTTGTTTTG